ACAGACTGTTTAATCCCAGTAATTTTGCATTATGTGCATCAACTTCTTGAGCTTCTGTCCCTTCTCATCTCATCAAGTCTCTTGTATGCTTTTGTGATGACTGTGTTGTAGAATCACATGTGAAGTGCTCTCAGTTCAGACGCAAAAGAGGGAAATCGGAGACTTTGCGTGTTCAGTACATTAATACAAAGGATGTGAGGTATGCAAAATAATAAAATAGTATCAAGCATTGGACTTCCACCTATACGACCCTCTCTCTCTTAACGTATTTTTGCTTATGAAGGGTGACTATAGGCACCTGGAATGTTGCTGGGAGACCTCCAAATGAGGATCTTGAGATCGATGATTGGCTTTGCACAAAAGAACCGGCGGATATGTACATCATTGGGTTAGTGCTCTCTTTCCCCTACTCTCAGCTTTCTGTTTGCATGAAATCTATCTGAAAGTGTTCATACACTCTGTTAGTCTGTTTTCTAAGCCTGTCATTGACATAGTAGTTGGCTTCTGTTGTCGGGGGTTCTCCATGATTTCAATAGTTTCACTTGATACTAGATGAGGCTATGTTAGACAGTAAATACTGCATCTATGGATAATTCTTAGTCAATCTGTTAAACCAGCAAGAACATTTCAGGCTGTCTATGACTAGTTTAGCTTGAACTGCATGACATAGAGAAAAGGTTCTTACTGACCGTTGGGCCAAATTTTGAGTTACAAGCAAGTTATGGCTGACACACACTCAGATTTGCATGCCTCGTGGATTAAGATTTCTTTCCTCCATGCTTTTGTCTGAGAATCGTGTTTGGTGCCCGCAAAAATCTCGGCCTATTACATATGCAGACTACTTTTTGATGACAAGAAGTGTTCAATGGCTTTGATCTGATTTTTCCAATTAAAACCATTTGATTACAGGTTCCAGGAAGTGGTTCCGTTGAATGCTGGCAATGTGTTTGGAGCAGAGGATAGCAGGCCGATACCGAAATGGGAGGCTATCATCCGTAGAACCTTGAACAAACCTACGGAACCTGAAACTAGGCAAAAGAGCTACAGCGCTCCACCCTCTCCAGTACTAAGAACTTCCTCCGCCTCTGATTCGCTAGCAGATGAGGCAGAGACTCAAGCATTTGAGATGATGAGCGAGCAGTATGCTGGAACAAGCTGTGACTTTGACCATGAACCGCAGAACTTTCAAGAAATGATGGGTTTGGGGAGGAATTTACATATTAAGAGGATTTTTAGCAAAGACACCCTCAGTCAATTTGACTGGCCCGAACGTCCACTGGATGCAACTCCTCAACTCTCCGCCGGCACGAAATTGCGAAAAGTACTGAGTAGTTCTGCAAGGATTGGCTCTACATGGACAGACACTTCTTTACTTTTCAGTTCTCAAAACTTTGTTGTTAACGGCAACCCACTAAGAAGATCATACAAGAGCTCTGGAAATCTAGGATTGGCTCTGATGGAGGCGCAACAGATGCCCGATTTTCTCGATTCCCCTCTTGATACTGTAGATAGTTATTCAGAGGAAGAAGATGATAGTTTTGTAGAAACAACTCCACCGCAGCATAAGAATGGAGTAATGAAAGATAAGGTGAAGCAACGCCCTAGATATGTTCGAATAGTCAGCAAGCAGATGGTGGGAATATACATTTCGATCTGGGTGCGCAGAAGGTTGAGGAGGCACATAAACAATCTCAGAGTCTCTCCCGTCGGAGTCGGTCTTATGGGCTACATGGGAAATAAGGTAGCTCTTTCCTCTTTTACGCTAAGGCTAACGGAAACATTATGGCAAAGATGGTATCACGAAAAAGGCATCTTCTTTTAGTCCCTTTGAGTTAAAAGCCTTATTTTAGGGATGATACCTAAATCTGAATAATAGTCACTTTTGAATATCTTTTCATGCTAAAATGTTTGTAAAAACTTGCATTGCCTGTGGAGAAAAAACCTAAGGCTACGGCTACTCTCGAGTTTCTCGTTTGTGCATTTATAATGCTTGACACATTTGAGATAGTATCGTATTCACCGCAATATATTTTGCTTTTCTGATACAGGGATCTGTGTCTGTGAGCATGTCATTTTTCCAGTCATCGATATGCTTTGTCTGTTCTCACCTGACCTCCGGTCAGAAGGATGGAGCTGAACAAAGGCGCAATTCCGATGTGTATGAGATCCTACGCCGTACTCAATTCTCATCTATCTTCAATCTAGATCAACCACAGACAATTCCATGTCACGAGTAAGTATCTTTTTGCAATAATCACTGCCATGGAAGCATCAATTCATCTTCTTGCCCTGTTCTGCTTGGATGATTTGATATTTAGTGTTAATCTTGCTGCAATCATACTAAGAAACAATTTTGCATACTGTGGCATCAACTAGAAGTCATGAGATCTGTTCACCAGGCATGGTTTAGCAAAGTGTGACCTTTTTCATGATTCTAAGGATTTAGTGCTTGTCAATCTTAACCATAGCACAATGTCGTTAATCTTGTTGCCGTCGCTACTTTTTCTCTGATAACACTTTATGCGTTCCTTAAGCTGAGCCTTTTCTTCAAAAAATATATATAGGTGCAGAGGAGAAAAATAGAATAGGGTTAAAATCTAGGTGAAGACATTAGCATAAGCAACCTAACTTTCCCCTGGGATTCGGCAGGGGAAAAAAATTTCCTCTGCGGAAGATCATACTCGACAACTGAGACTCACATCACTCAACCAAAGCAGAGAGCTTTTATGATCCCATATGACTAATGCAGAAAAAATTCGTTAAGGCTTGTTGATTATGCAGTACAAATCTAATGGAGAGATTTCTGACTTCTAGAAGTCCTGAGCGTTAGTGAATGTGAGCTGTGGCAAGATTAGAGAAGCATCTCCACTTTAGAGAAGCATCTCCGCAGAAAATGATTCATGCCTACCAAAGCTGTGTCCTTGGATTAAAACAGAAGAGCGCTATAATAGTCCCCAAGAGAGTGATTAATGGAGATAAAGATCCTAAGGCTAGTTTAACGTGGAACACTGTTAGTGCTTCAGTGCAGACTTCTACGATACTGAGTTGAAATGCCTGCTGGTTGCCTCATTAGAATTGTGAAACTGTTAATCTGCCTGAGCCTTAGTTAATGAGTTCAAATCATGTCAGTCAAAAATTGATCCATTTGGATTGTTCTGTAACCAGTCAGATATTCTGGTTTGGAGATTTAAATTACCGTCTCAATATGTTGGATGCGGAAGTAAGAAAGCTTGTTGCCAATAAACAGTGGGATGAACTCATCAACTATGATCAGGTGAGTAAAGAAAACTGTATTTCGAAAAAACCAGCATGCTTTTTTTCGTTGTTTCTTGTTTCCTTTCCGATTTCATAGAAAATGTAGCTTTATAATTTTGAAGAAGAATTTGTTTTCTGACTGGCTATCTCAATTATACAAGCATTAGGCAGTGCCAATGATTTAGAGAAACTGAATTTGATTTCAGAATGTATCTGAGAATAAAAGAAGTACAGATCAAAAGAACCCGAGTACATGATGTGAAAGTGTTCCATGTTGTAGTATCTCCGCGCAGTTAAGAGACACATCTTGATCTAGTAAATAGGTGGATACATCTTATAGTTCTTTATGTATGATCACTGAGAATGAAAATGGCTCTCGAGGACAGACAAAATAAACTCCTATTCTTCTGTCAACATTTTTTCACTTCAAAGCATGCTTAGGTTTGTGATAAATGGCAGTTAAGCAAAGAACTCCGTGGGGGACATGTTTTTGAGGAATGGAAAGAAGGCGCGACAAACTTTCCGCCCACTTACAAATATGAAATCAACTCTGACAGATATGTTGGCCAAAACCCAAGAGATGGGGAAAAAAGAAGATCACCAGCGTGGTAAGTTATGCTTCCCCAACAAGGACGACTGAACTTGATGTGAATTTCTGTGGTTTGCAACTGATTCCTTAGAACTTGTCTATTCAAAAGTACTTAGTTTTGCTGATATGACCTGATCATGCTCAACATGCATTCTCTCTTCCTTTTGGTTCGGTAGACTTGACCCGATTCTGCATTTTTCATCAAACATTGTTTTCCTCGAAGTCGGATCTCAATCGCTTCTTGAATAGAGTTGATGACGGCTATAACATGAATGACTGGAAGACTATCTTAAATTACTTCTGGCCATGTCTGCAGGTGCGACAGGATACTATGGCTGGGAAAAGGTATAAAGCAACTTTCTTACAAACCAGCAGAGATCAGGCTCTCGGATCATCGTCCAGTTAGTTCAATCTTCTCGGTGGAAGTCGAAGTTCTAGATCATCGGAAGCTCCAGAGGGCTATCAATTTCACGAGTGCTGTTATACACCCCGAACCCCTGCTGGATGAAGATGAACAATAATCTGGATATCGCAGGTAACTAAGATCCATATAAGAAGACACTTTGTTCCCTTGTTGCTCAGATTTCACTCTCCAAATTGTCGATTTTATCCCCCCATCACCATGTACTGAAATATATCATGACAATCCCTTTCTTTGGCAGGATTGAAGATTTTGCAGTTGCCAGGACAATTCTTTGTTCTGGAGAGCGACATCGACATCATTATGATGGGTCAGAACACACCAAATTTTCCATTTTAAAGTGCTGTTATACATGGCTTGAGGTTTGTCGGTACACAATACTTGATTTGTTGATCTATAAAGCTAACTTGAAGGGGCAAAAGAATTGTAGAACTTGCTGACAAGTTTTTTGACCAGCAGGAATCTGCATGTGTACCATTTTCCCAATTGATTTTACTGGAGAACTCTTGTAAATTAAGAGAACAATCTTTGTGTTTTACTTGTTCGTCCACCGTAATGAGAGAGAATTTCATCTGCCAAGAACCTTGAAGATCTACAATATTTAGGCACCATACTTAAAACTGTAGTTGAAAGTGTGCCTCATCAGTGTGACGTCTCATTCTAATCAACCGAAGAGCATCTGACTAAAACTTCAGGCATACTAAAGTCAAGGACTTGAAATGGCACAGAAAGATAGGGAACAATATAATGGATAAATGTTGCGTTTGAAAACCAGCCAATGCACACTAGAGAAGAGACTGATACATCAGACAACAGATTACAAGAAACTTGCCATCAATCCAAGGAAATTCAGGACTCAACATGGAGAGGAAGAGAAAAGGTACTGCAGATGACAATCTTCAAAGATATACAGAAATGAACTAAAAGAAAGACTTGAACTCTTTTCAAATGCACAAACTCAGGCAAATCGTTCCCTAAATTCTTTGTTTGAAATACATGGCACCATTGTGATAACCGCCAGTTCTTGAACAATTGCCATCCTGGAAAACAAACGGCACTTCTTCCATGTTTTTCTTCTGCACCGTTGTCGGTAATCTTCAGGGATCAAAGCTGTCATATAGACACTCCATCGACTATTTTCTTGCAAACTGTCAACGGCAATCTTCAGAGAGAGAAGTCATCGTAGATATGTTGGATTGCGCTTAATAAACCTGTCAATAAACCTGAGAAACTTTTCCTAACTACAAGAGTCGTTGAAATGAAACTGGGAAGGCACAAAATATAAGAATAAGCAATGAATAGCAAACCAAAACTCAGAACCAGTGAAATAGAGTAACTGCAAGACCCCAGAGCGACCAGTACAATTACACCTACTTGTGAACTGAAAAAATTCGAAATCCTTAAAAATCAGGTAAAAGGAAGAGAGCAACGCATACCTTATGGAAAGGACTGAATTACTTGGTGAATTTATCATCTTTCAATGACGGATAAATAAATCAATCAAAATACTGTTGAATAGGATAGAGCAAACAGCAGATCATCGAACTTATGTGCCTCTATCACCTATCACTTACTCAAAGGAAAAAACCAGAGGGCAGAGACCATGCATTTACTTTTTTTCTCATAAAGATGACTTGTTACCAAAAAGAAAGTAATGTGTCTTCCACCGCTGCCAAAAGAAACACTGACTAGAGAGAATAACTTTACCCTATCTCCAATCTCAAACTCACATATATTAACATTGTGAGAAAAATCACACAAGCTCATGTCTATAATCCAAATATCACCATTGTCACCAACCCCAGCTATATGGTATCCTCCAGCTTGGTGGGAAAATTATTTCATAAGATCATACCATTCTCCCTACAACATATCAACCGTTAGATCTACAAGACCAATGAATCTAACAGCTCATATGCTCTAGAGACAGATGGTCCAACACCATGCAATAAAAGCTCCAATTGGTGGGGAGAGGAAGACAAGGAATTGCGTGCCAAGATCGGAGTTCGAAACTCTGACAAAACGGAAATCTTAACAATGTCATGGAACACATCACAAGCATTGGTTCATGATAGCATCAACTAGAACCCACTGTATTTAATGATCATGATGGATCCCATCCACAAAAACTGAATTCATATGACTTTTCCAACTCCCTTATTGTTGATACCTGAATTTATCCTGTTTGGCATCGTGAAGAATGTTGTTAAATAAGAAAAATTGCAAAAGCTCGGGTCAACCCAATTTGACCAAAACCGACCCAGCCCAATAGGCCCGACAGGATAAAGCTCGGCCCAATCCGACCCTGCCTCATCATTGGCTTAAATGTTAAATCCTTACTATTGTGAGCTCTCCACTTCTCACCATCATACAAAAACCCAGATAAAAACTTCAGTTATTCTACTTTTTGGTAATAAAAGAGGTGGCACGAAAGGGGACTCTTTACTTTCTTCAAGAAAGGAGGGCTCTCCAAGAGTAGAATAACCTAGGTTTCATCTAGGGTTTTTGCGTGGGGAAAACGTGTGGCAAGCTCACAATGGTGAGGATTTGGGCCAACAAGGAGTCGCCATGTGGCATGGGAATTTTCAACTATAGAGAGAAAAGCACGATTCATGATCGAATTGGGCCGAGCTTTGTCCGACTGAACCTATCAAGCCAAGTCGGTTCCGGTCAAACTAGGTTGACCCAAATCTTTGCAATTTTTTATTTTTAACAAAATTCTTAAAGGTTTACATGAAGGAGAAGAGGATAGACAATCCTTGAACTATTTATCTTTATCTCCACCAGCTAAAAGCCAAAAGTCATGCAAGATTATCTGACCATCATCACCAAATATTCACATGGCAATTATGGTTTTTCAAAAAACATGACATAATTTCATTGGCAAGTGCTAGTAAAGATTGATAATCCCAGAACCAACTTTTTTTCCACAATCAAACCTTTATGCAACTATTGTTGTGCTTGGTAAATAAAAAGAGATAACGAAAGTTTGGTTTCAAAATGACTATCAATTTTAAGTTTCCCTCCTCTTCCTGTCCAACAATTTTAGAATTTTATTATTAGACAGAGGTGGGAAAATTTAAAAAAATTTCTGCATTGTCCACCCAAATTTTTATTCAACGTTTGAGAAGCAAGTTCTGCCCAAAGACTACTTCAAAACCAAGGGTCAAGATAATAAAACATTCTTAGTTACTGCTAAAATTCCTCACCGGAGCTGTAAAGGCAATAAAGGGAGCGAGTACATACAATGGACTAAGCCCAAGGGGGAAATTACAATCTTGATCAACACCTAATACAACATTTCTTGGCATTATTATACAAATAATGCTACTACATGAAAGACTTTGGAAAGCATAACAGGTAAAATGCTAGCAGATTCAAAACATGAAAGCATAGAAGTAAATGAGATGATGCACACGAGATTCAATTGCTTATAGACAAAAACCACTTGCTACACATCAACCACCAATGAACTAAGTAAAGAAAAATGGAATGTTCAGAAGGGCATCAAGTCTCCAAGGTGGACAGACATTACCCACTAGCTAAAAAAAGATTCATCACCTGTACAGCTACTTGATGAGTTCATGATAATCAAATAGATGGAAAACCACTCTATTGTTTCGTAAAGTAAATACTTTGAAAATAGGAAGTGGCATGAGCACAAATAAAGTTGTTTTTCGAAAATCGGGAGCATAAGATAGTGTAAATAACAAGATCCAACGGGAAGGGCCATGCAGCAGATCCAATCATATTTGCAGCAGCTCATAATATCTTTTTATTCAGTAGCACAACCTCAAAACTCTCGTTGTGTAAACTGAGAATACCATCAACCTCATTCAAAAATGGCCATACAAAATATAGACAAATTAGTGAATACATTGCATGAATAGAGCAACAATCCGCAGCACCATACATCTGTCCCACTATCACACTTAAAACCCTCTCATCAAACCCCTCTCATCAAAACTCGTAACTTGCATTACCAGAAAAGTAGGATATTTAGCCAGCCTACATTATTGATGTAAACCGCAACTGCCGCATCCACACCGTCCATGGACATGGAACACACGTGATTGCACGTGTAAGCCACGCCAATGAACGGCATGAGTACAATAGTTACAATTGTTGTTGAGTGTTCATCTCGTCAATGCAACTATTAACACAGCTATGATTATCACTATTTTCTGACAATAATAAACGTTTGGAATACAAATGTTCTCTTCAAATCCAACCATTATTTAGTATAATGTGTCAAATAAGCTTTCCCCCCACCTTAGAGCTATATGGACAGTCTCATTTTAATTGCCCTTTTCCAAAAAGAAATTCAGCTTCAAGCTTTAGGCTTGAATTTGGAAAAAGGAAGGAGGGAAAATGAGTGTAGAAAATTGGGAAAGATTCATATATTTTTGCAAAGAGGAGGAAAAGCTCAAATATTTCTCAAATTTTCACCCCACATTTTCTCAGACAATATAAATTCTTTTGAAATTTCCACGACTTCCATTTTCCAGACTTGATCCACTCCTTTCCCAAATACAAGTTTGAGAATGTATTAGGTAAATGCAGGATCAATATCTTATTGACATGATGCCATGCTATCGACAATAAAGCCACACCTTATACGATTCGATTATTAATACCACTATACTACTATTTAGGTTGAACTTTCTAAAAACATCCTTCAAATAGTATTGCCCACACCGCACTAGAAACCAACAATCCCAATTTTATGAAAATCTTGTATAAATTTAATATTTGTGATCCGAACACATCAGTCATTAATTTATGATGAGTTTAGATAAAGTCCACCATAGGCAATGACTGGTCCGATCCACAAAGAACATATTCATTTCAGATTTTTGCAATTGCATGTGTTCAAGATTAATGAAGGTTTACAAAAGGGAGAAAAGATAGGTAATCCCAAGACTACCTAACACTCAATACACTTGCAATTAGTTTATGGCTGAGTGTCATCCATAATGACATGACAAAGCCATAATAGCAAGTTCTTTTAGAAATAGGTAATCCCAAGACCACCTAACTTTTTACCCTATCGAAACCTTTATGGCTAGAGAAAGTGTGTCAACATGTTGTGCCAGCAGAGTAACAAGCCAAAGTGCATCAAAATCTTCCCTAGACTTACCATGAATTGAATCATTCACATGAGTTCCAAAATCTAGCAACTCAGTAATAACAATAGAGCAACAAATGTTCTCACTTCATGTCCAAAACAACTTACTAGTCCAAAAAGGAGTAAAACACTAGTTAGGGCATCAGTTCTCCAAGGTGATATATAGCATCAAAATAAGTTCAGACGCAAATTACCCATTAGTTGATATGAGATTCATCACCTGCCCAACTACAGAATCGTCATTTCTAGTGCATGATACTAGTGCATGAAATAATTTCACCGAAGAGGCATATTGGAGAAATCTAAATCTGCATATACCATTAAGTCATTACACAAGCAATAGTTTTTTTTTTCAATACATGCCATGAATAATAGTTACATTAAGAACTTCAATAACATGGCCAGACCATCAAATTCTGATAAAACCATACCAAAAACACAGAAGGGAAAGGCTAGTAAAGGACAAAGTCCCACAAAAGCAATCAAGAATCAGTGGTTTAAAGACAACAAATGTTCTTTCTTCACATCCAAAACAACTTAACTAGTCCAAAAAGGAGTAAAACACTAGATCGGGCATCAGTTCTCCAAGGTGATATAGCATCAAAATAAGTTCAGACGCAAATTACCCATTAGTTGATATGAGATTCATCACCTGCCCAACTACAGAATGATCGAGCAATCACAGTAAAACCCACCTGCTTTCGCAGGTGTTTGAAAAGCTTGGTTCTTTAAGCATCAATGCAAACACAAAAAAAAGTTCTGAACAAATTAGTGGAAGCGAAAGAGGAGCTAGTAGCGATCAGAACCTGTCGGGATTCGCGATAACATCACGCTGTTTGAAGTCAGTGGATTGACAGACATGAATTTCTATCGTCACCTCGCTTCAGCTCAGCTCCCAATTCGAAACAACCACACAAAATCGATGCAGCCACACACAAAAAAACAAACAAACAAACAAACGGGGACGACCAGACAGACAGAAAGACAAACATACAACCATATTCGAAATCGATATGTCCGCAGACAGAAGCAAGAGGAGCAAAACCACGAGAATTTGAAGAGAACGAAAAAGAGGGCATGAGCTCAGAACTTCTTAGAGGGTTGTGCGACCGTCACCGACAAATCCCGAAAATGAGACCGCCTCAAGTACACGAGATAATCAGTTCATCACTGCGATACCTCGTAAAGTTTCAACCTTTAGCAAAGAGAAACGTTTGATCATAGACCAAAAAGACGACAAGATCCGAAATTTGAAGAAGAAAACCGCCGAGGATGCCTGTAGTAACGCCGGGGAAGAGATCTGGAGGGTGAGAAGTGGAGGCAGAGTGACATTGGAAGGAGAAAGATGGGCTCTTTATAGATGGGGATTGAGGTGGAAGGAGGCGGCAAAAACCCTAGACAAGATTTTTGCATTTTTATTTTTTTGCATTTTTAAGTTTGCATGTATTAGGACTCCAAATCATACGTGAGATTTATTTATGAGCCAATTTTAGATTTTAATTCGGAAACAAGAATCCAATGAGGAGGTGTAAATTTCCCAAAATTTAACTTTATTCAAAATTACCTTATAAACTTGATCACTTTAACACAATTAACCATTGAAGTGACCCTCCATTTTTCAAAGCCTTCTTTAATCTCGAATTGATTCTTAATTACCTCTTGAACTTGATCGTTTGGACCCAATAATCTCCTAAGCTCATCACCATTGAAAAGAATAGTCAGGTGATCAACACGTGCTCGTCGTGTGCACATTGCGCACCTTTTCCGGAGGCATTTTAATTCGAAGAAAACGCATTTCTTCCATGCCACTAACTTGTGCATAAAAAATTCAAAATTTGCCCCTTACAAATCAGAAAGAAAAAAAAAAAACTAGGGTTTCTCGAGCATACTTTGAAATTTGGAAATGGAGAAACACTAGAAATGTGAGAGGTTAACTGTACTGAGGTCGTGTCGTGGATTGAAGCAAACCCGACTAGGCACTCTCTTGTGTGCAAGTAGCATGAGATAAAATCAATTGAGGATTTTTCTTGAATTTCAATTTAGGATTTTAAGATTAAGATGGTTTTTGGACCAAAATGCCCTAATAAGATAGGAAATCAGCAATTTTGCACCTTCGAAGCATCATTGTTCATTTGCAAATCATTGGCACATTACATTTAGAGCAAGTTAATGCAAGTTTCTTGTAACTCTTCTTCCTTAAATTGTGCAAAACATGAGTTTCTTTTGTTCCATTGAACAACCTTCAAGACGACGAAGGCTATATAAACAGCCAAAACCCAGCCTCATGCAGCACCCACAAGCTGATCTCCCAGCAAGAGCAGCACAAATCAGGCTGAAGCTTCAGCTGAAGCAAAATATTAAAAAAAAAAATTAGCTAACATGGTATCGGTGCTGCGGGCATTGTTGCTCCTGACCTTCGCAGCGGCCACCATTGCCATCGCGCCCGCTCCATCAACGCTCACGGGCGTGGACATTCCCCGCGAAAAATTTCTGAATTTCGGGGGTCCAATGAAATGCTGGAACGTCATTGAAGGCGTGGAGGGGTGCGCCGACCAGTTCCTGAAGTCGCTGGTGGCGTTGAACGTCAAGTTCTTGCCCAACTGCTGCAAGGCCTTCCTCGGCCTCCCGTTGAACTGCTTCGAATGGATCTTCCCCTTCCACATCTTCGGCTTCTCGTTCGGCGGCGAGGTCAACAAGTTCTGCAACAATTTAATTGGAGGAGTGCCTCATCCTGCTTCCTAGATCTTGGCAGCAGAATTTGATGGAAGGACTCTTGTGTGGTGTTTTGTCTTGTGCATTGCTTCTAACCTTTCTAGTAGCGAGGGTTTCGGGCCACTAATTGAATAAATAGACAGAAATGCTTTTCATGATTTTAGCTTAGGTGACGGATCCTGTTGTACTATGTCATCGATTTATGGGTTTTTCGTGATATAAAGATCTGTTGCTCGCTTTTTCGACATTACATACTTCTAAGTACCACTTTGGTGAGCGATCAAAAAAAAAAGTACAACTTCGGTAATGCGCATGCACTTGCAAGAGCAGTGCTCTGTCATTGCCAAGGAGTAAAATTCAAACGACCACTATTTGTATGCAATAGAGCACAAGAACAGACTTGATGGCATGAAGCAAGCAGTTTTATATGTATGATTTAGACCTGCCTCACATAATCCTCATTCAGCAAAAGGAAGCTCAAGTATCCTAGAGCCATGATTAACTTTCAAATCATGGTTGAGTCTATATAAACATGAAATGTTGACAACTTGAATCTGGATCAGTGCATAGGCTGTAAAGAAATCAAGAAAGATTTTTCAGGGAAACTGACTCAAAGTTTAAGCCGTGACCCATCGAACCTGTCATCGACCCAGCATTCTAGTTGATGCATCCTCTGCAAAATATCATAAGCAATCCGGTAGAGATCTCATGCAAAGTGCAGATCCAGCAAAACTTATCTACAGAGACAAAAAAGTTCTCAGACCATTTCTAAGTTTCAAAAGGTAAAACAACTTTTTGAAAGATCATGATTAGTATATATCTAGCAGGTGCAACACCCTTATTGCAACATTCCCTTGACTGTAGTACCCGACCACTTCCAAGTTTCAAGGTACTATAGCTTTAGCAACAGTTTGCCAAATACACAAATTACTTCACACATCACAGTACATATACAACAATGTGAAACCCGTGAATAAGTATTTCAGGAGTATCAGTCCCTCCTGTCACATAAAAGACAACTGAATAAGGCTGTTAAACTTCGCAATTTGCTCAAGAGTCTCCAGTAAATTAAGCCAAAGTTTACTTTCACCAGACTGTGGTATCCTCCTAGGTTGCATCCTTCGTCAAGCTCTTAGGGGCATCAAATGAAACGAGCGCTGCTTATTTGGCCCATAACAGACCAAACGAGTATGGCATCTTCAATATTGCACTGTCTTCTGCAGGTGGGTAGGATGTTTCTTCTGGAGAAAACATATCACTCCCCACCGAGACTGCATATGCTAACGACACAATATTCTTGAAATTTACCAAAGGACTTACTGAGATCCAGACATACAATTAGGTTGCGAGGTGGAACAGCATGATATTAGGAAAAAGAAAAAGAAAAAAGGTGGACGCTATAACCAGTTGCAAGAGATAACTGCACACCTCCACGTGCAACAAAGCCTAACAGCCTTAGCTTCCACGGTCAAAAACCCTGTCTGCACACTTCTGCTACCTCCGCTTTCAAACTTCAGCTGTAAAGCAGTGAAATACAGCCAATTATGGCACTGCAGGAGGTTGATTTGCCAGTTGATTTCTTTGGCAGAGGGATGCATCAATCAGAAGCCTGTTGAAAAGTTCAGAGCAGTTGTCAAGACACATTAGAAAGAGAAGATTATGAGAGTGAGACAGAATCTGAAGGACACTTCCGACACTAGGATATCAGTGTAGTTTCCATGAGGCAAAGTGTGCGACACATGCAACCGCATCTCTTGCCCGTTGAGGAGAGGAGTGAGGAGAGAAAAGGTCCTAATACCTCTCGAGCAAAATGAGCTTTCGAGAGAGAATTAAGCTGGTTGCTTTCCATGTTCGCTAGTAACTGGACCACCGTTTGCAGATGAGGAACACTGCAAAAGTTATTACAGAAAACATCAAGTTGACATGGCTCATACAATAATACTCACATGGCCTTTATCAGCACACGAAATTTATGAAGAACAGAGATGGCCACAATTGTTTTGTAGCCTAAGATTTCAGATTGCCAAAAAAATAAAAAGAACCATACAACTGATCGGGCATAATCACTGTATATATAGCAGTTCTTAAGCACGTCTCTCACAAGATTTTAATCAGTTTTTTCTCCGTTACGCAGAAAAAAAGTTATCGTTATATTACATCTATTACATAATACAGAAAATGATACCAAATGTCAAAGGTGTTAACCTTTGCAAACTAGTCTCCATGTGTGCATCCAGAGATGAAATTACCCTAGGCATTTCTTCCAAGACCTACACCAGAAAATGGAAGGTAATAATGGCATCAGCACTCTAAGTGGATGAACACCACTCTTGATCAACCGAGCCAGATCTATATGCATACTCGCCCAGTATTCCCTATTGTTGCTGTTTTTGCCAGAAGCCTCTTTGGAAGCATCATTAGCTGGGCCTGAGGAACATGCCGAGAAAGAATTTACAATAAGTAGCACAAGAATAACTACACATTGAAATCAGAATCTTGAAGCTGACCAGCCATTTAAAACACATTTAGGATCCAAAAGATTCTCTGAGACAACTATACACTTAATTTGAAGAACAACTGATCTCACTAAACGCCTGGACTACAATCAATTCAGTTGAACTTCTTTCGCCAACACTTCAGTCGACTCATGCCTTTGTGTCGACTAGAACAATAGGCTTTTGCATAACAACTTAGATATAGGCAAATGTTATAAGTCATCCTCGTGATAGGGACACAACAGTTTCCTAATCTGGGTTATAAGCAGATAAGCAAAGCTTAAATGCTACATAAAAATGATTCCGAGCACCGTCCAGCTACATTTTCAGGTACATTAAAAAGAATTAGGTCCTACATTTCTCTTTAATCTTCCTTTGTTTGCATCTGCTTTCTGTCAAAGAAACTTTACCCGAGACAACAATATCGGTAGCATCGACCAACCAGCAGAAAATAGCCGCATTGCAATCACTCGACCACTGCGAATCTGAACGGCAGATGAAACGAGACAACTAACTCGGTTTTATGTATCGACAATAAACTGGAGAATCATTCCTCTGTTGCCAGATTCAAGCTAAAACCTTGAGAATCCTCTTCTTCCCAAGAACTACACAGAGCAAATCCCTAAAATGATCTAATCCCACCCCTTCATAAGCCCACACCCTTGAATTGAATAAAAGAACAACAACAATTGATACGCGATGCTCCAGCCGCAAAATGGTATTAAGGTCAAAAAAGCAAACAGTTCTTGCATCTTCAGCTACCACAACTGACTCGTTTCTCATTACATTTCACAGGACAAAGCAACCTCGTCGTTTTTTATGTATCGACAATCTACTGGAGGATCATTCACCTGTTAGCCAGATTCAAGCTAAAACCTTTAGAATCCTCTTCCTCTTAAAGAACTACACAGAGCAAACCCCCTAAAAATGATCTAATCCCACTCCTTCATAAGCCCGCACCCTTGAATTGACTGAAAGAACAACACCGATTGATACGCGATGCTCCAGCCGCAAAAATTGCATCAAGGTCAACAAAAAGCAAACAGTTTTAGCATCTTCCTCTACCAGAACTTGCTCCATCTCCATGAAATCACAGTCGGACCGATCCTGCCTCTACATACTCGAGATGCCTCTACTTAAGCGAATCGAATTCACAGCTTGCTAGAACCAAACACGATCGATCGATCGATCGAGCGAGAGAGAGAGTGAACCTGGGAAGGGGAGGTCTGTTGCATGAGGTGGAGGAGGTTGGAAGTGGACTGAACGGCCTGCGATATCTGATCGGCGACGATGGCTTTTGCACCCCCTTCTCTGTTGCCGCTTCCTCTTCCGCTCGCCGATGAGGTCGCCATTGCTCAGCTCGCACCCCGACCTTCTTCTTCTTCTTCTTCTTCTTCTTCAGCGCAGGGAGAGAGAGAGAGAGACCGGTCCAACCGGGCTGGCTCGGAAGCGTTGTACGAACCTCCTCTCCGACCGATGAGTGGACCGGTCGAGCAGGCTCCTACATTTTTAGAGAGATGTAGAAGGATCCAAGCAAATTACGATTTAGGAAATGACATTGGTTGTGGCCGCATAAGCATGTTTTATTGTTCTTCTAAATTCCAAGCAAATTACCATTTAGGTTCCGTTTGTTCCGCGGAAATTGCGATGTTTCTGGAAAATATTATTCGGGAGTTCATTTTTTTGGAGAATGATAATATTTTCTAGTGTTTGGCTGAGTCTTGAAAATGAACTAGAAAATATTTTTCGTCGTTTAGTTAGGAAAATTGATTTTTTTAAATGAATATACACTATTAAAGCATTAGTGACTTGCCATGGGTAGCCAAGGAACCCGATATGAGCACCAGGTCTCAAGCCTGGATTGCCGACTGTCTAGAGTCGGGCACAAGCCCGAGAACTCGATGCTCGTGCCCAGCTCCCTGGCGCCTCAGCCAGGTCTAGAGAGGCTGGGTCTAGGTCTGCAACACCCTGGCCTAGGAATATCGAGGCCGAGTCTCAAACCCCAGTGCCCAGATGGACCCAAGCTCGACCTCAATGAACCAGGGCTCAAGCGGCGGTGGACCGGCCTCACTGCCAAGGGATTGAGAACGAGCATTGGTTTTCCTGTACCCTAGTGTAGAATTTCCGGTCCAAATGCCAATACCAAGTTATATATTGGTAGGAAAACTTTTTCCGTTAAGTCATTTTCTTATGTAATCCAAACGTCGAAAAATTACAAAAAAAATTTCCGCGAAACAAAGGACCCTCGCGGAAAATGTATCATTTATGGAATATATTTTCCAAGAAAAGTCATTCTCTGGTGTCCGACTAAAACCCAAAAAAAACTTTGAAAGTCGTTTGGTAAAGAAAATATGATGGGCAAAATTACTAAAAAATTTGCAGTTTTTAATTATAATTAATTATTTTTTTATATATATATTTTCTTTTCTTTTTGCTTCTTCCTTGTCCGGTCGCCAATCACGGCGATGGGGCTAGCAATCGGCCACAGGGGAGCTCAATCCTCGCCCGATCTAGCAAGGCGTGAGCTCAGCCGTTGCCATTGCCGTGGCCGGGGACTGGGAACCAATATTGGGTTTCTGTGCCCAAGCGTAGAGTTTCACGTCCAAATATCGATAACTAATCATATTTTGAAAAATGTTTGTGGTTCTTTGAAAGGGGAAAACATTTTCCCGAATTTAAGTTTTGGAAGGAAAACATTTTTCGTTAGCTCATTTTCCTAAGCAAACCAAACACCGCAAACGGACGCCGTAAAAATAGTAACTTCAATGTAGAGGCAGTTGAAGAAATTTACATCGACGGAATCTCGAACACAACGTTGAGTTTCTGCCGATCAGCACTTGGTAGCGTTATCGTTCATTTGGTATTTCAGTGGTACATTTTAAAGCAAGTTAATGCAAGTCTCTTGTAACTCTTCTTCCTTAAATTGTGCAAAACATGAGTTTCTTTTGATCCACGTAACTCCCTCTCTCTCTCTCTCTCTCTCTCTCTCTCTCAGAGGATGAATTGACCTTCGAGACGATGAAAGCCTATATAAACACCCGAAAACTCCAGCTCGTGAAGCACCCACGAACAGATCTCCAGGCAAGAGCAGCAAAAACAGGTCAGGCACAAGCTTCGGCGAAAGCGAGAAGTATAACTTGGCTAACATGGTATCGGCGCTACGGGCTTTGTTGCTTCTGACCTTTGCTGTGGCCGCGATGGCCGTCACGCCTGCCCCGTCTCCAATCGCGGGCGTGGACATTCCTAACGAAAAGTTTCTGGACTTTGGGGGTCCGGCGAAATGTTGGCAGGTCATCCAAGGCGTAGAGGGGTGTGCCCAGCAGTTCCTGGAGTCGCTGTTACAGCTGAACTTCAAGTTCTTCCCCAAATGCTGCAAGGCCATCATCGGCCTCCCCTTGAACTGCTTCGAATGGATTTTCCCCTTACCCATCTTCGGCGTCTCATTCGGCGACCAGGTCACCAAGTTCTGCAACATTTCAATTGGAGGACTGTCTCCTCCTGCTTCCTAGATTTTGGCAGTAGAATTTGATCTAGGACTTTTGTGGTTTTTTTATCTAGTGGCATCGCTTCTGCTTTTCAAGTAGTGTTGGTTCTGGCCATTAGTGGTATAAATAAATAGAAAGGTTTTTCTTGATTTTAGCATAAGAGATGACAGGTTCCTGTCGCGTTATGTCATTGATGTAGGGGTTTTTCCATGATATAAAGATCTGTTGCTCGCGTTTTCAACATTACATGCTTCTTCCGTGCATTTTTTTTGGTAATGTGCATGCTTTCCCCGACGTTACACTCGCAAGAGCAGCGCTCTGTTATTGCCGGGTAATGAAATTCGAGCGGCCACTATTTGTATGCAATAGAGCAAGAGAACAGACCTGACAGCATGAAGAAAGCTGATCGATATGGATGACACAGAGCTGTCTCACATTACAAGGTCACGGATCCATCAGCAAATGGGAACTCAAGGATCCTAGAGCCATGGAAATTTTAAAAACATGGTTGAGCCTATATAAACATGATATGTTGAGAATTTGAATCTGGATCAGTACTTAGGCTATAAAGAAATCAAGAAAGATTTTTCAGGGAAACTGACTCGAAGACCCTTCAAACTTGTTATCACCCCCGGCATTCTAGTTGACGCATCCTTTGCAAACTAACATTAGCAATCCGCTAGAGATCTCATGCAAAGTGCAGATCCAGCACGACTTATCTACAGAGATGAAGAAGAGTTCTCAGCACCCACAGAGGCAAAAGCAAAACACTTGCATGAATGAACGACGCTCATGCTTGGGCTCTAAAAGCAGTTTGCTGTCTTGAGGCATAGATAACCTCAGTCTCTGCGTGAGACCTGTAAATAAACGGTCATAGCAAAGGCTACCACCACACAAAGGCAGATGCACAATCTGGAGTTTCGTGAACCCATTGAGCAGGCAAACATAACCATGCCTAACTCATCAAAGGAGCATTTCGGGTTCAATATTAAGTATAGGTCTCGAGGTTTTCAGGACGTAAAACAAATTGAACAATGAGATGTCCAAATCAGATCTAAAATACCTTTGTCACCCTCCTGAAACGAAAATCAGAGAAATAAGAGGCAAGGATATTTTAAAGCTCAAACCAATTTCCTTCTGTGTAGTTTCTCAAACTGCTCATACATCACATTTGTACATGGAGTTCAAGAGTACAGATATTTTCAATGGAATTCGACCACAAGAAAGCAGCATTAAAAGACATTCTAGTTGTTCTACATCACAGCAAGCCTGTCATGCAGTCAAAATAGTCTTCCAAAGAAATCGCAGCCCCCATAACCTCACGGATCCATAGCAACAGGTGAAGTTTTAGGTGCCGGTAAATTGGAGATGGACATGAGCTCGGACCTGCACTCCTCAGTGTTGTCACCATTAGTCACTGCAGCACCATTTGCATCGTTAAAGGTTTCAGGTTGAACATTCATATTGACAGCAGTATCCGGTTCTAAATTAGAGATCGCAATAAGCAACTCGCGAGTCAATTCGTCAGCAACCTCCTTGCACGGTGATGATTTGTTATCCATATACTATAAACTTTTTCCTGCAACATAAGAAAACAATCCTGTCTCTTCAAAACCGGCTACATGGGTAACTTAACAGCACAAAGCAAAATAAAAATTCTGAAGCCTTTCATGACGTTAAATGCATAAGCTAGCTACAATCCAGCACAAACTTGTCCTCCACATTTTCACGAGCATAAATCATATTACAATTTCTCAAATTTTTCTTGTTTCCTTTTCGCGGCAGTTGTAAAGGTCTGTAGGTTGTAACCGCCAATGCTACAGCTCGAGACTAGCACTACAGTGAGGCATTAAATAGATCCACTACACTACTAAGGTTCTTTCCGGCATCTCATTGAATCCAGTCGAAGAACAAAAACAATACTACAGAAGCACTTCGTTCTCAATAACTCGAGACTGTCATACTCGGCAGTATAAGATAAAAGAAGAGCCGCTTTGTCTCGAGAATGTAACTCGAGCTTGAACTCCATCAAACTCACGATCCACAACACCCTCCAACTAAAACTGTATATACGTTACTCCAAAGCAATTCGAGCTCTTGAACTCCATCAACACATCATCAAAAGGAGCAGGCGGATGTTCAGCATTCCCTTTCAATGGAAAATCAAACTCTTAACACCCTCGACTCAAGTTCGAGCATCCGATCACAAGCAAATAGAAGATAGAAACAAATGCAAGTTTCCAGATAACCCATCACCCCCCACATCCGACTTCATGTAGAAAAACCTCAACTGAACCCTAGACAGATTCCCAAGCTTAGAACGCTTGCAATCGAGAAAAATCAAGAAAAAAGAACTTGCATCCATGCAGAAAAACCCCAAAGGAGAAAAACCCTATATCCCAAAATTGGGAGGAAGGCAGAAAAAATCCAAATTGAGCTAATCCAACATCAAGCGGCTAAAAACCATGACTTCGGATCATCCGATGAACGAACAACGATGAAGATAAGGCACCAGAAAACTTGTCTCATCCACTTCCACCTTATTTTCCTGCTATTTTCCCGGACAAAAATAGCAATAAATGCGATCGAAGCGGATCGCCGAACACATAGCCAAAGAAATAGATGACCAGGAAACAAAAACGCGAACTTTGAATTGGAATTACAACAAGACATGAAATCATTTGAGACAGAGAGAGAGAAATAATCGTACCTTTGAGCTTTTGGAGCGTCCGATGGCGATTTTTCGGTTACTTCGGGGCCAGCGAGGCCAGAATTTATAGGGAAACTGCAGTTTTGACCTTCCTATTTTCGGATTTTCCAAGTCTTCCCCGGGACTTCTTCGAAATTGCACTCGCTTGCCCAGGAAGAAACGGTATTTGCAAATTTGGCACCTACCGTCTTGACCTAGGATCGCGATTCATGTCGAGTCGAGTCGAGTCGAACTGGATTTACCGCTTGAGCTCGACCGGACTTGATGCGAGCATTAGTGCTCGGGCCCTGGCTTGTTCCGGCTTGGCTTCTCGTACTCAAGCTCAAGCTCAAGCTCGTTTGGGTTAAGCCTTTTCGTAAGTTCGATTCATTTCAATCAGTTGGCAGACTTTAGCCAAAGCTCCAGTCAAACTCGAGCTCTGGTTCGAAGATTAGGCTAAAGTCGTAAATTTCGACACTACTTATCCGTAATCATAGATGTGTCTATATGATAAATAAGTGCGATGTGATTATCTCGACGCCGAGCTCCTCGAGTTTAAGCGTTTTTCAAGCTTGAGCTTGACTCTGATAAATACTTAACTCGCTTACAAATTCATCCTTAGATAAAAAAAAATATCTCCAATCGCCCTTTCGTACTTCCAAAATGTATTGAGGACTAAATTAATCGGGCAAAAGACTAGATTGTCAGCATTTGTTCTGAATTAGATATATTAATGTTAGAATAACTAAATATTAAACAACGTCTTCATCTAACAGTTTAAACTTTTAGAACAGTTGGCTGTGGTTTCACAAAATCTTTCATGGTATCAGAGATGAAGGTCATGAATTCGAATTTTTTCAGGCCCCGTTTGCCTCTCCAATTAAATATATCCACGCTTAGTACTAGGCAAAACGAACAGACTAAGCTTGAGGGGGACTGTTAGAATAATTAAATATTAAACCACGCATTTATCTAATAGCTTAAACTTTTAGAACAGTTGGCTGTGATCCTACAAAATCTTTCAATTAGAATGCTAGCAGGTTCTACTTTGTCATCTTTGATGCGATCTGACGATGGAATTTGTTGTTCATGCGTGGGATGGAACGTGCTTTCGTCTTGTGTGGTTGTTAAGTAGGTGAATGATGTTAATCGTGAGATAAACTCAGCAAATGGGCATCATCGATATGAGTCAGACTGATAGCAACTAGAGGCTTCCATTGATTCTCACCAACCATTCTCTATCTGGGGCGATGACATCACTGATCGAGTTTTCTAAGTATTAATGGAGTCGAGTTGATACTCCGGGTCGGGTGTATGGGGCAATTTCGGAACGATATCCTCGTCCAGACCCGGTTGATATGAATCAAACACCGTGCGAACAACCGCTCTTCTCGATTGTCTCCGAAATTCAAGTGTGCTCCGCACGAATTCATTACAAGTTCTGTGTTTTACACAGTCCTTTTTCTTAAGAAACTTCTTTCGTGTACTTGCATTAGTCTATCTCTTGATAGGCAGCATTGGTTTTTCGCCTTGTGAAGAACTACAGTACAGGGTAACGCGGGCTTCGCAATTACTAATCAGTTGTTCAGCCGAAAATTCCTGCTGCTAATAGTACCAATCTTTGCTTCAGTACTGATAAATTATGAGAAGCATTAAGCAGTGACTCAAGAAACACCAATGCGCAGCAGAGAAAGCCTAGACACCAGATGGATTCATTCAGGCAGTCTAAAAAGAAGCAGAAGAAGAGAAGAATATGACAGGCAAATGAAAAGACGACTAAAAGAGAAGGAACTGAAAAGGACTTGGATTGGTAATTTCAGATGCAGAAATGAGACAGATAAAGATAGTGATGATAAAGAGAGCGATAAAGCGGCAAACCAGGCCAGTTAAAATGAATTCCAAAAGCCTAAACTACTGCTAGTTATCAATAAATCCCTTTATCATTGTTCGAACCCTGATGCGCGGCTTTCTCTTGAAGAATTTTTGTCTACTCCTTCCGATCCATGAGAGAATCAAATAATAGCATTCAGCAAGGCAGAGAAATTATTTGTTGACAAGTCGATCTTTATAACTTTCTGATAAGATGTAGGAAGGATTGCAAGTCTAAATTGGACAAAAAGCAGAGGAATTGCTCATATATGAAATAGTTAAGCATCCTGTTGCAAGAGCTAAGTATTAACATTTACAAGCATTTCATGGTTGTGAGTCTAAGACCCACACTACTTTATGCCGCAACAGCTGATGGGTTCCGGGATTCCAACCACGCCACCAAATCCTCCCGAGTTGCTACAAAGCAACCGGCTTTCTCTTCGCACTGCCTAAAAGGTGCAGCGAGTTCGTCCACATGAGACGCAAAAGCATTGGCTAATCCCTGAGAGAACTTATGCGTTCCGCTACCTGTTTGAGCGAAAAATAACTCCGGCAATGCTTCGTCACGTTTCACAATTCTCGACAAAGTTTTCATCCACTCCTCAAGTGCAGTTTGAGCAGCACCAACAGAGAGTGACCTAACATCTAAACTCCATTCATCAGCAGTTTTGTTATGTAGACTCGGGTACAAGCCGTATAGAGTTCCTAAATAGAGAAGCTCATGGGCTTTCTCGTACAGATTTCTGTTTCTGCAAATATCAATCAAGCAATTACAGAAGGGTCTTCTGGCCTCGACTGCTGTTTTGCTGATCACACCCCTAAACTCTTCTTTTATTGTATCAAAATCAGTGCTTTCTCCTCCAAGGATCTTGACAAGGGCCACCAACTTGGGATTGGCTTTCTGCAAACAACAGAGGACTTTTTCCATGTCCTCATTGTCTTTGCACAGTGATACAACAGACAGCAAACATCCGCAAAGCCTATCGTCCGGTTCAACCCCTCTTTCGACCGCCAAACTGAATACTCTAACCAAATCATCAATTCTCCCAGCCTTGCCTAGGCACTGAATCAGACAAGTGCAACCCATCACATTTAGTTGAATCCCTAAGGTGGATAATTCCTCTAACAACTCCATTGCCTTCTCTACATTTCCATCGCTACCATATATGTTAAGCATTGCAGTGTAGCTCCAGCTATCCGGCCGACAGTTGCCCGATTGCTTCATATCATCAAATAATCTCTCTGCTTCTTCTACAAGGCCAAGGTCGGCACACATATTCAACAATGTGTTGTATAAAATGAAGTCAGTGGGCCACCCGTTCAACCTCATTCGCTCCCATAACTCTAGTGCATCTCTCCCCCATCTTGCCTTTCCATAAATCTTTACGAGTGCCGTCAAGGTCTTCTCATTTGGCGTTAAACCTGATTCGACCATTTCTTCGAACAGGTTCCGAGCCAATCCGGGTTTCCCGGCCTTGCCCATTGCCTCCAACAATGTATTGTACACAACCAAATTAGGTTGCACTCCAAGAGACCTCATTTCTTGCAGCACATACCTAATACCATCATAGTCGCCGGCTTCACCAAACATCTTACCCAACACAGAGAAAGTAATGGGGTCGGGTATCCACCCGGTGGCCCTCCCTCTCTCATACAAACTCAGCACCTCCTCAACTTTGCCCAACTTGGCGTAAACATCTAAAACAGCCGAGTAAGTGACCTCGTCCGGCATCAACCCGGTCTTATACATCCGCTCGAACCATTCCACTGCTTTATCAAACTTAAAGCACCTCTTGGCACTAGTGATAATGGTCGAGTAAGTAATGTTGTCAAGCTCAATTTCATCCCTTATCATCTCATTTGCTAGGTCCTCAATGAGCTCAAACTGCTTTCCGAACCTCAAAGACTTCATTGTGACATTGTAGAATATCGTCTCCATGGGAAACAAATTCTGGGTTTTGAGCCAATTCAAGAAAAGATGGGCTTTTTGCCACGGTCTCAAACTGTTCAAAATCAAGAGCGCGTCGTCCCTGGTGGGAGGATTAGGCACTTCCTGCAGAGCAGCCAAGAAAGCGGTTTCGGAGGACTCACAGTCATTCAGCTTCTCGGCGAACGCCCTCAGCTCCCTAATCTGTGGATTGCGCGCGTAGTGAGACCGCTTCTGCCTCTGCGGGTTCAGCACGGACCGCCTGGGTCGCGCCGGGTTGACCCAGGTGGACTTCGGCTTCGATTTCAAGACGTGGGCCTGGGCCGCCGTCCTGGCCGTGGGGAGGGTGGTCGTGGACAGCGGCCTGAGCTGGTCGGACAAGGGCGGGTTCTTCCGGTCGAGCTCTCGTTCCGAGAGGTCCTGGGGAGGTTTCGGCGGGGACCTGGGGGAGGAAGCGCTGCAGGAGACGGTGAATCTCCAGGTCGGACGTTGCCTGAACGATGACGGGAAAAGATTCGATCTTTTCAGGTCCGGCTGGTGGGAGATGGAGTAACGGAGGTCTAGAGCTGTGGGGAGAGTAGCGGCAGCCATTAGAGAGAAGGGGTTCGGAATCTCGAAATGGGCAAAGAAAAATATCGGAAGATACTTTTGGGAGGACCTTATCGGACTTTGAAATCCCATGCAATAGAATGATTAGAGAAGATAAAAGAGGGAAAAGGTAAGCATGGGTAGTTTAATTGGTTAGGGCGTATTTGGAATTGTGTAGTTAGGCGTATTGATCCCAGGTTCGATTCCCCAGCTAAGCACTTGTGATGAGTGGCTCAATTAGTTAGGACGTACTTGAGATTGTGTGGTTAGGCGCATTGGTCCCAGGTTCGATTCCCCTAAGCACTTGTGGTTAGAAAGAACAAAAATTGAGTTAGAAGTCCACCGAGGTGGAAAGGCTTAACCGGATGTGTGGTAACAGGTAGAGCCCGAGGGCTCGGTCTCATCCCTGTCAGGGGAGATGCCAACCATCTCTCTTTTCCACGAACACAGATTAACCGTGCAGTAGCGTTTATTATCAAGTGACATCTAGTGTTGTGCTTATTCTATTTGGGACTCTTGGGACTAGCTTCCGATTCATTGATTCTAAAAGATTGCGTCGCCCATATACAACGTAAATCACGTCATGTCAGTGCAGCCTTAGAAATTTTTTCCTAAGTCAGTTCCTTTTCCATTCATTGATTTCAATATATTGCAGCACTGAAATAGGACGGAGATCCAAGCCACACCAGAGCAATCTTAGAAATTTTTTTTTCCTAAGCCGGTTTTTTTCCACGCTCGCTCGCTCATAAGTATTATAGAGGGAGAAATACCGTAGAAAAGTTCTGGATTGTATTTCACTTGTGAAAATGGGATATTACAAATGAGGGAGAAAACTTATTCACCGTAGAAAAGTTATATGGATTGTATTTGTATTTCACTTGTGAAAATGGGATATTACAAATGAGGGAGAAAACTTATTTATATATAAGTACGAGATCAATCGCACTCGTAGATCTCTCTCGATCTACCCGCATTTATTACAAGAATACTTTAGAACTTCGTGCTCGATTTCAATATTGCCCATGTCCCTCGGGAACATATTCGATGTAACACTTGATGAAGCGTGGCATGTTCGTCTTGGTCGATTCACAGTCCTTCGGTCATGAGGAACCTCAGAACCTTGACACATCAAATTCTTCTGTGTATAATTTCTCTTTGAATAATTAACTAGAAACCGGGATTGAGATTTGTCCATTTGGCTGTAGCGTAATGTTATTATATTAGGCTAATTGACTATATTGATGTGTTAAATGGTGTGATAAAATTGCAAGTGGACGTTTGAAGGAACAAGGCATTTTCAATGACTGATGAGAGTGTTCATTTATATCACTTATCACACACATTTTGCAACTGGATCATGGTACAGTGCTAGCTATATCAAGACAGATCTGCAAAAATTTTACCGTGAACAGTGTAAAAATCAGAATAAGCAGCTAAGATTGGGGGGACGATTCTACTTTTCCATTAAAATATATGACTATTTTTTTTCATGAAGAGTTACCAGGTGTCAACAAAACTGTTTGTAAAAAGAGTTACCGGTCACCCAATTTTTTTTGTAACTTGTACATAATTTACGGTCGCTTTTTTTGAAATTACTAACTGTCTTTTACGGTTTACAAATTATCAAATTTATTTATTTTGTAATAACTTTTATTTGTCTTTTTATCTTATGCCTCAGATTTGTCAACTCATATATGAATTTACCCATTTTTATTTGATTGACTTACGAATTTTTTTACGTTAATGTGGTGATTTACCAACTTTATTCCTAATTAAATTAACCCAACAACAAAGTTGGTAAAACTATAATAAAAAAAAAGAGTCAAAGAAGAGTTGGTAACCGACTCAAATGAAAATCAGTAGGCTCGAACTAGTGGAAAATTGACAAACCACTTAAATTGAAGTTGGTAATTTCATGTAAAAGTCGGTGACTTTAAGGCTTCATTAGAAAGGTAAATGAATTTTGATCATCGATTAGAAAAGTTGATATTTGAATGAAAAATAAGTTTGATAAATGAATTTCCTATAAGAGTTACTAAATTCGAAATTTTGGTATATTTTGCAAATAAAAGTTGATAAATCAGTGCAAAAATGGCTAATTTGCAAATTGTAAAATGAAAAAAAGATGACAATTTCATAAAAATATTGGTGAAATACCAATAAATTACCAGTAAAAAAAAATTACCAACCATTTTTTTTATCAATAGCTTTCTTGCACTTACCAACACTTACCGAAATTTCCCAGTATAGAAAAAATCCGTACTTTAGGCACGGAACGAGATAAGGGAGCTTTATTAACTGCTTCTATCAATCAGTACGTGAGGTGAGATTACGAGAACACAAAATCTACACTTTCATTTCTACCAATCTGCTGAAATATTTGCAATACAATTTGGAGCAATGGTGGAAAGGAAGTGCCAAGGAGTACCAAAATAATTGAAAATGAGAAAAAAGGCACAAGATTCCTGAAAACTTCTCTTAGTGACAGTCTCTTCACTGTGGATCCAGCAACTCTCTGATTTGATTCTTGACTTTCTTCTGGACGAAAGAATTGGGCAGCTGCGATACCACCTCGGCTCCGAAAGAGAAAACTAGCGCCTTTCTTGCTGTCTTGGGGTCAATGCCGCGTGCTTGGAAGTAGAACAGCTGGCTTTCTTCTAAGTCGCTTATTGCAGCTCCATGGGAGCACTTGACATCGTCGGCTATGATTTGGAGGTTGGGTTTGACATTTACAGTCGCACGGGGTTCGAGTAGCAGGCTTCTTGTCAGTTGTCCGGCATCTGTTTGCTGTGCATATCTGCAAAATGACGAGATCAAGATCACTCTATATGTGATCACTGCGAGCAAATATACTAAAAAACAATTAGCTGAAACAATTTTTGGCTACAACAGCAACTTAAAATAACTATCTGCTAAAGATGTTAATAAGTAGCATGAATTCCGAGACAAACAATATTCTATAACATCGAGATGAGCAGAAATGGGAAAAGACCAACAGTTGCATGTATCTCAGAGCCAAGATAAGCTTCTAGTTCTCCAAAGTCCTCAAATAAGTATAGACGACAAAAAAAGGAGTCATCCTAATTGCGCACGTACTAAGACAACTAAAGGAAGAGACAAGGAAAAATGAAAAGTGGAGAAAACAGAAAAAAAGAGATGGGGGTGCGATAAAACCAATTAAGATGGGATCGAGGGACGGAGGGAACTCCACGATGAAATTATTAGAATGTCTGTGATATTCAGCAAATCCCCAAAAGATCAACAAGACAAAACTAATTAACGTACTAACCATTCCTACTTGAAAATTAAAAGTCATCCCATGGAACAATTTCACAGAAAACGACACTCATACATTTCAAACTTGCTGTCATATAATAACAAAATGAAATTGCCATCTTCTCTGTGTGTCATGTTACCCCAATGCATAACAGAAATACATGTGCAAGCTAATATTTTACAACTGACTGAACAATATAGCAGACATACTCTGAGGATGGGAACCACAATGAAAACTACTAGAGCCCTCATATGAGATAATTACACGGCCTACCAGCGAGATAAGCATGTACATACACCGCGAAAATGGATACCAAAACATATACACACAAAAGCAATCTAAATAGTAAAAGTTACCTGTTAACCTTAACGTTTCCATCAAATACTGCCTGTCCTTGTGAGTTTGCCACAATGCACTTATGAAGCTGACGGGAGCTACCACGTGGATAATCCAAGACTAGTCTACTATGTAAATCTTGAGTCTGTTCATAGAAGGCCAAGTGTAAAGTGGATAGCTCTGTCATTGTGTCAGGCCCTAGTTGCTGCACATGGAGATTATGCCTGCTCAACTTCCCGCCACTACTAACCTCCACGAGTTGATAACTACTTTCCGCTTCCTGGAAAATGGGGTTAAACTTTTGTATTGTTCCATCAGAAGGAAACAAAAATCCCATCTACGGCTGAATATATTCTAAAAAGAAGAGTGGAAGCATCAAAGAGACATTCAAGGTTTCCTCTGCCAATGCTGGCATTAAGTAGACACACGTGGCCTTTTTCCCCTTTCTTCTTAATGGATGGAATTACACTGCACCTTAGTATTTGGAGCTTAGAGAGGAAATGATATTCAAGATAATATGGTGAAGTAAGATATCCTTCCGGATGAATGGCATATCTGGGAAAGGTTTCATTGTTATCGCAATTTTACTCTGTTAAATAGCCCAATAGGAAGTCATTTTGCCAAGAAAAGAGGAGAAAAAACACCAAGTAACAAATGACATTAAGGAAGATTACTAAGACCAACGAATGAAGGAGTTCATCAAATTAAACACATGAAAAACGATATCTCAATTAACAGAACTCGGACACACACCAAGGGGGCCCAGCAAAATTGTGGTTTGACTTAGCAGAGACATGAATAAATGCACACAGAAAAGAGGGCACGCTATTCCTGTCAGAACATATTTTCAGAAATGCAACCGCAAGCAAGTTCTCATGGACAAATGGTGCGCCATCAATCAGAGCCGGAGATCATAGACTGTCTGCACCTAGAACAGATATTCCTCTATCTTACAACTGAGGGACGAAAAGGCATCAACTTTACAAGCATACCTACATGTTCAATTTTGTAACATTTCCAACATAAATGTTAAGCTTCAAGGAGCTCAGCTATCAAAACGACAATCCTACGAAAAAGAAAAAAAAGTGACTCATAACAAAATGCTTGGAAGAGTTACCTGCCGAACCGAAGTCCACTTAATATGAGCAGCACATGGAGATTGATTTTGCACATAAGAATGTCTAACTTTGCCACCTTCTCCAATCACTACCTCTAGAACAGGATTAGCCCAATAACATCTATTCCCATCACCACCCATAAACTCCTCAACTATATCAACTTCCCCTCCTTTCTCTACCAACACAAACACCCTCGGATTTGAAACCGGCAATTTATTCGACCCTTCATCACTAGCCTCAACAGAATAATACGTCAAATGAACCGGGTTTTCCACCCGGCAACCGGCGGGCACGTAAACAACTGCCAAATCCGGCGCACCGACACCATTTATGGACCAAAACAAGTCTCCCCAATCGAAATTACTCACAAACTCACCAACCCGCTTGACAAGACTCTCTGAGGTCGCATTCGACAAGCTGCCCACATACACCCCATCAGGCAGACCACTCAAATTGGAGCCGAAATCCACAATGTGCCCATCAACGACGGCGAGATGGGGCAATTGGGTGTCTTCGGAAGAGCCCAGTGGAGCATCCAAACTTTGTGGAGGAGGGCGTGAAACAGGGTAGATTTTGGAGTTCTTGATGAAGGAAGTGTCAGTGAAGCGAAAGGGCTCGTCTTTGCGAGAGGGCCACGGTGTGGACAATAGGGTTTCTGAGGACACGTCCCTGATTTTCTCTAGAGGCGAGAGCTTCGGAGAAGAAGGAGAGGAAAGGGAGTCTTCGAGAGCTTCCGCGAGTTCAAGAACGAAGGGGTCGGAGAAACCCAGTTGAGGAGGGGTAAGCGAAGATTGGACGGAGACTCTTGTTCTGAGCTTGGCTTTCGGTGTGTTGCTGAAGAAACAAGGCCTCGGCGCGGTGTGAACGTGGCGAGGGAAGGCCAAAGCGGCCATTTTTTGAGCCGGTGCTGGTGTGGGTGCCTTGGTCTACGCCAGTTGACGGACGGCTCTTCTGAATTCCTTCCTTACTTACCACCACCAACAACAACAACCATGGAAAGAGAAGAAGAAAAGGGGAATGGCTACGAGGGTGAGGAGAATCGGTCGCCAATCGCTATAGCCATCCCAGAGTCAACAGGGTGAGAGCCACCGAGGCATGCTGTGGCAAATGGTTGATGGGTCTGGGCTGGTTTGAGGGAAGCTGGGGTGTGGGTTGCTTGTTGATAGAGAGATCCTGGTCCATTCTTGATTGGGCTCAGCTGTGGCCTGGTGTTCCTCTTTGCATTTGCTTTTCTCTCTTCTTGGAAGAAATGGTTCTTGGCTATTGGAATCCTACATGCTATATTCCTAATTTCCTTCTTGATTGTGCAAGGTATTTTTCTAAATTTTCTTTCTTCATATTTTCATTCTAATTGAGAGTAACAGGAGGTTGTGGAAAGCTGGTGTATTGGGGGGGCCTTATTGATTACTCAAAGTTCTAGGATCTTTTCTTATTTTATTTTATTTATTTTGGCTTTCTTGGTAAAGGAAAAGCTTATCTGAAAACATGTTTGGCACCGTTCCTCGGGGATAGAAAACGGTTATGGTTACACGAGTTTAAACCATAAGTAGAATTTAAAAGATGGAGAAAAAAAAAATCTTAACATATTAATTACCAAAGCAATTTCGAAAGAACAAATTGAAAATGGGTTTTTTCAATAAGTAAATGCAAATGCATACTGGAGATATTGTTTAGCAACTAGTGCACTCTTGAGCTTACTTCTGCTCCATAGTTTGAAAACTCCAATTTCTCTTTATTTTTTGAATATTAGAAATTTATTTAATAATTTAGTGCACTCTTGAGCTTACTTCTGCTCCATAGTTTGAAAACTCCAATTTCTCTTTATTTTTTGAATATTAGAAATTTATTTAATGTAGAGAGAAGTATAAAAATGAAAAATTGTTATATGATGTACACACAAATATTACGCGATGAACGAGAATACGCCTTTATTATGTTTGAATGGAAAATTTTCAAAGCGGTTTTGAAAGGGTTTTCCATATGAGTTCAAAAGATGTTCTAAAACCAAAGGCAGATCAATCTTCACAAATCTGGGAATTTGAAATTTTGATCAGATCAATTCCCTTAACTTAGGGAAGGAAAATTTTACAGAAACTTAGTCGCAGCATTTGAGTGTGCAGCACCATCTTTGACATCAGAAAGCAACCCAAAACAACACACGTCAATCAGAAGACAATCGCAGGTCAAAGAAATAGTAATTTAATCATGAAATTCCCCCCCTTGCCTGTGATTTGCTGGACAAAATTTTCAATCAGAAGAAGGAGAAAACAAAAGGAGGATCCTCTGAGATTTAGCTTTTTGAGTTTTAGAGGACAAAAAGGTTGACCAAATTTAATCGGCTAGAGCCTTCTCCAATCAGCATAGGGACTTGTCTAAGGGATGGTGTAAAACGACTTGGCATGAGATTTCCGTGTGAAAAGAAGTATAAATACCCTCATATATCATATGCTCGCTAATAGTACTACATTTTCAAAATTTTACGTTCCCATGACAGATAAGCTACTAATGCATTTTTACTGAAAGCAAGTTTGCCACCAACTGTAGTGGCTGTAGCGGCACAATCCGCTAAATTTTATCCTTTTTTAATGCATTTACCCCGTTGAACCTCGGGTTTTTTATTCATTTGCCCTTAATTAATTAGTCATTCAAAAAAAAAACTCTAATTAATAGGAAGATCGGTCTACTAAAATTGTAAGGAGAAAATCAATTTGAGCCGCACGAAAAAATAATAAATAAATAAATCAGACAGTTGCGATTGCGTGCAAAAAATTTTAGTTCTAGGCCACCAAAGAAATTACAGGTTTCCTAAATATATGCAAAAAATGAGGATCGTATTGCATAAAAGATTCATTGATTCAGAGTAAGTGAATGATGATTTCATTTGGAGCAATTTAGTTCGTATAACAAAAAATTCAATCGGAGTCGCCAATTTAAGTTTTCATGTGAGATCGAACTAGCCTAGACTTATTTATATCATTATATTATCTCGTCTCTCTTATGGTGATCACAAGCCAAGAGGGCTAGTGGTGATCGCCATCCTAGAACCCCTAAATCGACACTATAGTTTACCTCGTGAATTTTTTCGTGGCACCTTTTTTTCCAAGCAAATCTCATACATAGGTTTTCATCTCTTTCCCTAAGCTTATATTTGCTCCTTCGACCCTTCTCTTAGCATCCTTGTCTCACTCGCCATACATTCAACCCCATTGATCTTCGAGCGTTGCCAAATCTACTGTCCATTTGATCACCACAGTCCAAGTTTTATAAATCTCAATAAATACGAAGGAGATGGGAACAATGTTGGATGAGACACCTTTCTTTCCCGCGATTAGACCTCGCAACTGCTAAGGAAAATGATTACAGACTACAACTCTAAAAAGCAAAGCAGCAACAGATTGTTCATGGCCACTTTTAGGCACCCGTCAATCTGCTGCTGCTGGCTCCTTCTCCTTCTTCTTGTAGCTCTACGCATATCCATATCGCCGTGACCCCCCCATTTCTCTGCATGATTCTCGTGTCACTTTGCTCGTCCACGTCAAACGGGAACTCATCATCATTAGATATTTAGATAACCCAATTTCCCACCTCACATAACTTTCTCCATGCAGTTCGATTATCCCATGGTCCACCAGATGTCTCTGTCGAAAAATCATCCAGTGGTGGAGGAAGAAAGATGTCGTCTCGTACATGTTTATTTAGCTCGTTCGAGGTGTCCCGTGATTATATAGCGGTGCACACAGGAAACCAACCTAGGAAAACAAGACTAAGAAAACGAAATGGCAGTATCAAACTTCAAGGGGGGCAAATTATAATGATTTCGTTTGATTTTTTTTCTTGATGGACTATGACATGTGTTTCATACAAGTCGTACCCCCATTATCTAGCGGCTGTCCGCCATTGATTGATTAGATGAAATGGGTTAAGGTGATGGTCAATTCATGGGGCAAAGAAGTGATCATTATTAGATGGAAGAGATGATGTGAATTGAGAAAAATTTAAAATTGATGGGAAGTGTGGAGATGACTGCAACGCAAGGCGATCCACTTTTGTGTTTCTTGTCCCTTAGTGTCAACAGTGGCTGGAGGCTGCCTTTACAACGTTTTTCCAAGTCACCATGATTACATCTCAAAGCTAAGAATATGCAAAATAAGCAAAAGATGAGCTGCTTGCACTTTCTTTTTTCAGGGGGTCAGTCCACAAGACCATAATTTGGCATATTGTAGCCCCAAATGACCAAGATCTTCTTTTGCAAAGCCAACATTTAACCCTCGGACGCGGGAAAAGCAGCTTCTTCACCTTTTACTTTTTTTCCTCCAACCCTTCCGGTAAATAGACTTTCGCGGAGTCTCTTTTACGTCATTTGAGCCCTTTTCGTTATTCGCATCGTAATTTGGTACGGGTTAATCATTGTTCAAGGTTCGTCAAATATGCGGTACTGTATGTATTACCGATGTGACCATTCTATGGACTTTGATGACTCCGCTATCTTGAATTTGCAGTACTATTTCTGGGTTTTTCGATATTTTTATGAGTAATTGTCAATTGGTTCAGAGATATCGAGTTGAAAGCAACTAAACAAATGGTATACCAGGGGCTTGTTTGACAACTTGCTAAATAGTAAAAATTTCTATTTTTTTTTCCAGAATCAGTTTGGGAGCAGAAATCCGTTTGTTAAATTTTTTGTGCCCGAGCACAATTTTGTAAAAAATTATTCCCAGAATCAGTTTTGGAACGGAATCAAGAAGCAAAAAAAAGTAGCTTCTTGATTCTGGAACAATTTTTCCATTTCTGATTCTTCTTCATTTTCTTCTTTTTTTTTGGTTTGTTGTTGTTTTTCGGCCTACCGCTCGCCGGCCACAGGCCGCTGGCGACCAGCCGCGGGCCAGAGCCGGCGAGGGCGGCTTGCGGCCGCGATGGCGAGGTCGCGACAACGAGGCCTCGCCCAGCCAAGGCGAGGCCGGCCTCACCGTCCCCACCTAGGTCCGTCGCCTGGGTGGTGACGGTGAGGTTGGCCTCGCTAGATCTGGGTGAGGTCAAGCCTCGCCTAGCCAAGGCGAGGCTGACCTCGCCGTCGCGACTGGCAAAGCCGACGACGAGGGCCGCGACGCCCTCACCGGCCTTGGCCAAGGAAGAGAAGGGAAAGAAAGAAAAAAGGGAAAGAAATATTAAAAAATTCAAAATATTATTAAAATATTATTAATAAAATGAAATTTTGTGTAGTTACCAAACGCATTTCTGTTCTTTTTCTATTCTAAGAATAGAAATTTTGGGCAACTGCCTTCAAATACTTAGAAATTATTTCCGGGCACATAATAAAAAAGAATCATTTCTGAGCAGAATCTGTTTTCTAGTACAAAATGGTTGCCATGCGTAGCCTAAGCACAATCATACACGACCTTCTTTTAGTGAATATATTGTATATGCTGTGACTACGTGAGGAGCTAATTGAGTTGGCGCTGCCGAAGAGAGGGTCAAAACAGGACGATACAGGAAATCGTGAGATACAGCATTAGACACATTAGTGTCTGTTGTTTTTTTTTTTCAGGTAGGCTCTATGTCAGATAGCAATGGGAGCTGGATCAGTTCTTGTTTTACATGCAATCATATTGTCCAGAAATTTCTTTGTCAAAGACAAGAAACAGTGCATAAACTAAACAGTAAGTCAACTCAAGAACCAGTCATTGTTCTTGTCTTCAACCAAGGTAGAATCAGCCCACCATATGTGTTTTGACTTGTGCCCCTTGTTTGAAGTGAGACCCAATGAGCATTTTATGCGCCACAGCAGCAATTTTTACCAAAGAATAAAAGTGACCGAAAGCAGAGCACAAACAGCGACAACTACAAGCTTCTTTGGTCTTCCTATTTTCCAAAAAAAACCCCACCATTACAACCTTGTTTCTTCTACGTTATTATTCACTCATTCAAACTTAGACTATCTCCACCTCTTTTGTAATACCAAGAAAGTAATGTGTAGCATAAGCTAGTATAATTGCCGACACGACAGACATAACAAGTCACCATCAC